AAACAAAAATACGATTAACTTTATTTAAAAACACTAATAATCATTACCTTAACCGATGGTACAACCAAAGAACCTGAAAGAATAGTTGATACCAATAGTAATCCAATAACAGATTGAAGGGGCCAACCAATCCTGAAAATTATTCACAGAAAATAATCAACAAAGGAAACGATATATTAATAGTAAAAGTTAGCGAAATGATAATTTATTTGACCAGTTAGAAACTGCAACTCATATCTTTTGTTGTGATTAGCTTTATTTATAATCCTGAATGTGGTAATCATCGGTGACCTGGCTTAAGCCAATGGGCTATCTAAATTCCCGTTGTTCAATATAAAATGCTTGTTGTTTGAATCTTTCAACGATGTCTCCAATTGCAACATGAAGTCATACACTTAGTCAACTGAATTCCAAGCTACTGATGTGCACTTTACGAAGAAAATATTGTATAGGATTGAGTCTTGTTTCTGGTGAACCGATGTTTCATCATGCGATATACTGTCGGTGAATATTTTACTTGAAGATTCCATTACCCTTAGAATTCCGTATTGTGTGTGAACATTATTGCCATAATAAGCTGTTGTTATTATTCATTGACAGTAACTGATGAGTTAATTCTTCTGGCTTCGCTCCATACTGAACATCAAATGGCTGGCTGGCAAGAAAGAATTAGAAACAAGAAACTCTGTCTGGGAAAAAACCAACCAAAAGCTGATTGCTCAACAAATATGCAAAGGAAAATGGAGATGAATTGGGTAGACGCTGAGGAGACCGTCGAATGACATCGAGTGCCAGTCCCTCAAGTGGAATCCCAATGGGAAACGACGAGTGGGTCATCAGTGCGAGGGTGACATGGAGAAGATCGTTTGAGGAGGGGGAGATGAGAAATTATGGTCAATAGTGGACCCAACTGAGGAGGTCAGCAGAAAATAGAGGAAAGTGGAGATGTGTTGTTGAAGCCCTGTGTTCCACTCGGAACCCAAGGAAAAAGTAATAGTGCGTTCATTCTTACAATTCTAAATGTTCCACGAACGTCAAATCAACAGCAATGAAATAAGAGGGAATGTGCCTCTAACACATTGGCAAAGATATTTTGTTAGTAATAAATTGACCCCAGCGACAACTTTTTTCAGTTAGCAAACACACAGACGCTGGATAAAATCAAATGCATGCTTATTAAAAACTACAGTGTAGACCTTCTACAAAATATTGTAAGACTGATATGAGTGAAATTTCTGTTGCTTACCACAGTTATATCTGTGGACTGGGAAGACAGCCAATACAGTGGATAAAACTTTTTTACTAGATTTTATTCATATAAACTTATATCTATTATGATATTATAGTTTGCGACAGTTCTTCCCTTACATTCAAATAACATATTTTAATTTGTATGAAATTAATAAAGAACTAAGGAGTGAAAAAACAGACTTATTTCAAGTTAAAAGGACATATTGAAGGTGAAAATAACAATGAACATCACTAAACCAAAGAAGGGATGTAATAGTACATCTGATCTGGTATCAAAACAAAGTTCACCAAGTAAGGTGTAATGTGATTACAAACCATTTATTAAAATATATAAATGGTGGTTTAAACTTCTCAATCGTTGGGGTTTCCACAAACTTTAGGATATGTTCCCCTGAGACCTAAACTTTCTACGATCAACTTTCCTCAGCACAAAGTTGCTCGTTAGTTTGCAGAAAAGTTAGAACCCACTCAACAATGGCTAACTTTATACACCATGAAAGATTCATTTCATTTTACCGAAACCGTGAACCATTTGAACGTTTCAAATAAGTTCATGGAGCCATTTGATGTAACCTCCTTTTTCACAAGCATCCCTATCAATGAAACTATCGAGATCATTTGTCAGTGGTCTGATCTTCTCCCACTCCCAGTCTCGGATTTCAAACGCCTACTGCTAATGTGTACCATGGATGTACAATTCCAGTTTGACAACACTCCTTACCACCAAATAGATGGTATAGCTATGGGTAGTCTACGTAGCCTTGTTTTAGTAGATATCTTCATGTTCAACCCTGAAAGGAAAAAGTTGGAGCATGCAATTGACGAAACAACTTCCCATTGTCCATAATGTCAATGACACAAAGAAAGTCATGCTTCCTACCCACTCGGATTATTCACCTACGCACATGATAATATCGAATTTACTATGGCACATGAAAATATTGGAAATTTTCGTTTCCTTGACATTGCCAAGCAACGATTAGAAGATAATAGTCTCCGGAGGTTAGTCTATAGAAATCCTACATGAAAACGACAATATCTACAATGTAATAGTTTTTCTCCAAATAACTATAAACGCGCATTAGGAATAACTCTGTTCTTTACACTCAGAAGAATATCCTCTACACAGAAAAATTAGAAGAATTTCTGGTTCTCCAAAGAGTCTGTTCAAAAACAACCGTTACCCTCAGAGATTCATTAACAAGTACGCAAGATCTGAAGGCTTTAATGCAAAACAAATTACTGTGGAAACAAGCCCATCTTCATTCAGCTTGATTTCAAATGTACAAATGTAATATTCAAATTGATTGTAGAGGTGATAATACTGCAGGAATAATCAACATGAGATTGAATATGTCGCTAACCACAGCCTTTCCTGCAGCTAACTTGGTTCCCAACTAACTATCGGACAACATCCTGTTTTGGTGCAGTCAAAAGTCGACAGATACCCTTCTCATGTTAGCTCCAAATGTACACAGACATTTACGTGTATCTGAGGGAGCAGCTACACTGGGAGAACAGAAAGAAGGAAACACCACCGATTCTATGAACATCTCAGGGGAACAAATGTTTTCAACAGTGCCATCAGCATGCATCTCCTTGACACGGGTCATTATTAGGTGGACGTCACAAGATCATTCGAAATTATCAATAGGCAAAAGAGCTCAGTTCTCCTCAAGTTTGTGGAACCAATCTCCACCAAACACCTGGAACCATATTTGTGTTCCATGCCCTGGTAACTGCAAATTTTCATCCCCTCTTTCACTTAATTACATGACGCCAAAAATCCCATTCTGTATGATTATAATTGTTTGGAATAAAGTGATTATTTTTATCCACACTGTATGCATATATTGATGTTTTGTTTAAAATTGAACTTTCTGTGTATGTTAAAATTGTTTCTGTACATAAACGTTACTGGGCTGTAAGCAGATGATGAAGAGCCAACGAAATAAACGGATGTTACCATTTTATTATGTACAAACTGTTGTCCTTCCTTTATTCATATTCATAAAGGGGAATAAATGTATGCGATGTTATAGATAAGTTTACAAGAGGGATACACAACAATTTTATGACCAGTCTCTATTATATGTTTTGCAATAGGAGAGGTAGGTTATCTGTTTTTACTATTGATGGTTTCAGGCAATTGCTAATTGGGGCGTATCCTAAAGTTTGTGGAAGCCCTAGCAAACAATTAGGAAGTTTAAACCTCCTTTATGTGTTCACAAACAGTTAGTCATCACACTAAACCTTCTTTGGTAAATTTTGTTTTGGCTTAGTGATCCTCATTGTTATTTTCACCTTCAATATGTCCTTTTAGCTTGACCTAAGTATATTATTATTCATTCATTGAGTTTCCAATGAAGAATAGGAAGTCAGAGGTACGTTGCCATTCCACTCAGTTCTCTGATATCACGTTCATCTAACTCCACCACTATCCCCACATGGCCTAGAGGAACATAGGGCTTCAGCCGTGCGTCTCCATTGCGTTCGGTTCTCTGCTAGAGTCTTCACCTGGCTCCATGTCTGCCCACACGTTTTCATCTCCTCTTCACATGACCTCCTCCAAGTCACCCTTGCACTGACGACCAACTCGCCGCCGCTTCCCTTTCGGCTTCCACTCGAGCAATGGCTTGTCTAGTGATGTCACTTGATGTTTTGTTTTCTCAGAGTATGGCCAATCCATCTCCATTTCTTCCTGCCTATTTGTTTCACAATCGGTTCCTGGTTGGTTCGCTCCCAGAGATCTCTGTTGCTGATCTTTTCTGGTCATCTGATCTTGAGTATTGAGCGAAGACAACTGTTAATGAAGGTCTGTAGTACTGCCTATACCACTTTTAAATTAATACACAGGAAAAAACTGTAACTTACATTTCATCTTTACGAAATACCAACCAAGTTAATGTAATAGACAAAGCAATCGGTAGAGCAACCAGAAATAAGACAGGTACTTTCCTAAGACCCACAATCCGACATAATTTTGAATCACATGTTATCCTACAGCAAAAAAAATTAAAAAAATAAACATTAGAATGAGATGAAATTATATATATATATATGTATATATATATATATATATATATATAGAACTATGATGGTTTGTGTTTGTAAAAGCCGACAAAGTATTTCAATCAGTAATGTTACTTAACAACCGCTTGCAATCAACCCTATGCACACCTAGTCATGAGCCACACCTATTGTGTGAGGGCTGGTTACACTAGCAGAAGCTATCCAAACCTCGATGCTTGGAGCAAAGTCCAGAAAGGTGACACACACTGGTTGGAAGTCGGCACCCTAGACCAATAATTTCGGTGGCGCTCGGGAGGAGCAAACACGAGAGAACCATGCAGATTTTAGACCAGGAAGAGGGTGGGTGCATTGATCATATCTTCACCCTTCGACAGACACAGGAACATATTTACCGGCGTCCAACAATTGTCATATTTCCACCGACCGAGAGGTACTATGGAGATGTTTGACGGTGAAGGTGTGGTGAGAACTGTAGACAGCAATTTACGTCAGTGTTACGTCCTGAGATGGGTATTGAGGAAAATAATAACAAAGCTTAACCTTGAGGAACTCACCAATCAGTCACAGCAGACTTAACGTGTGCAAATACGATTCGCAGATATATCGCCTGACTTTCTAGGAAACGGTCACAAGCAGTACAGAATAACCTTCAGTAAGAAAACACCCAATCAGAAGACGTTGATTGTCCGCTGACAATAATATGCATAAAAATCTATAAAATATCTTGATTTTCTCCATAAATGATCTGTTGCCTGGTCCTTGTATTCTGTCGTTACAAAGGGAATACTGGGAAAATATATCGCACTCATCAAGGCACTCTACTCGAACTCATGCAGCCAGTCAGGTGAGAATCTACGGAGGCAGAGTTGTCATCTGAAGTGGTAACAACTAGTGGCGTCCGTCCGGGATGCCCACTGTCCCCATTTCCATTTAATTCCATCATAGATGTACTAATGGACTTAACCCTAACTCACTTCAGGGACTAAGGGATTAACTTGTTATCATCAGGGAATTATGTCGTTGACTTAGAATATGCAGCTGATATAGTCCTCCCAACAAAGTGAAGACGCTGAAAAAATACAGCACAGGGTTCTGAACACCTTGAGCGGTGAGAAATCGAATGTTTGGCATACTATTCGTCCCCGTCAAATGTAAGATGATGCTGTAGGACTGGACTACATCGACTAATCCTAGCTTAGAAATAGAGAGTAAAGTGGTAGAGCATGTTTACCACTTCATTTATCTGGCAAGTTGCATCAGTCAGTACCAGCCGATCAGGAAGAATCAGCGAGTAGAAACGTTGGCTCGGAACAAACCAACCAAGAGCCTATCGCTCAATAGCTATGTAGGAGAAATTGGAAATAGATCGAGCATACACTGAGGAGACCATCGAATGACATTGCGCGCAATGCAGGCCATAGCTAGCTTTTGATATAAGTATAAAACTTGGGCACTGTGGTAGAGTATAATTCCATAATGGATAAGATTTTATTTTGATAAATCACACAGTGTAGTACAGTTATATTAACTGATGACGTTTCGAGCATAAACTATTGCTCATAATCATATCAAGTTACTCACACAACTTCTTTCCTTCATTTATATACATGTGTGGAATCGACTAGATATTGGAATAAAATTCAATATGAGATAATGTACATTCAGAAATAATAGTACGAGTGTTATTAATCCATTGCAATTAGATGGGAAATACGACGAGTGTTTTTTATAGTCATAATAAGTTAATTGTTAGAATGTTATGATGTGCTTGAATGGAAATAGAATTTTAAGACTATTTATCATCTTCTTCTGATTTGACTGGCGGTAATAATATCTTCCATATTTCTGGTATTTGCATTGAGGTAGGTGGAAAGAGAGGTTGATTACGGAATCCTTATTCATCGAGTCTACACCCAACACATGCAGCAGAAATGACTCAATGCAAATATCAGAAATATGGAAGATATTATTACCGCCAGTCAAATCAGAAGAAGATGATAAATAGTCTTAAAATTCTATTTCCATTCAAGCACATCATAACATTCTAACAATTAACTTATTATGACTATAAAAAACACTCGTCGTATTTCCCATCTAATTGCAATGGATTAATAACACTCGTACTATTATTTCTGAATGTACATTATCTCATATTGAATTTTATTCCAATATCTAGTCGATTCCACACATGTATATAAATGAAGGAAAGAAGTTGTGTGAGTAACTTGATATGATTATGAGCAATAGTTTATGCTCGAAACGTCATCAGTTAATATAACTGTACTACACTGTGTGATTTATCAAAATAAAATCTTATCCATTATGGAATCATAGCTAGCTTTTGTTTTTTTCTTCCTTCACGTTTCCCAGTGGAACATAGGGCTTCAAGCTAGTGGCTTGAATTTTCTGTACCAGTGTTTATTTTACAGGATGGGGTTGCTAGCCTCATGCCCAACCTTTCCTCTTTACCAGCATTATTTCTGCCTTAGCGTGGTAAAGGAGTGCGTCGGCCGGGGATCGAACCCCAGACCAGGACATAGCTAGAGTGGAACCCGAATGGGAAGCGACGAGTGGGTCGTCAGTGCGAGGGTGACATGGAGGAGATCGTGAAAGGAGGAGCTGATAGATTATGGTCAAACGTGGGCCTAGCTAAAAAGGACAGCACCAAATAGAACAAAGTGGATATGTGTTGTTGAAGCCCTATGTTCCACTTGGAACGCAAGGGAACAAAAACAATAATGTAATCCTAAAACAGGGAAATTACTGCTTGCTTCTAACACTTCATAGCGATAGCACCTTATAGTAAAAACGTTACCAAACGATACTCTAATGTAATTAAACACCTAAACAATAATGAAGGATGTAGGTCACTGCACAGTTATTCGAATTTGAATGATGCATAAATGGTATAATAACATTAGAATAAATTTTAAATTACACTCCTCAACACACTCCAGTCAAGATGCTCAGCATTTTAACCGATATAGCGGTCCCACTTATACATACAAATAAACACTAAGTTAAAATTCATAACAAATAAATCTGTGTTTGTTTGAAGATCGAATCACTAAAATAGTTGGATTTATTTTTTTAAAATATTTATTTTATTCTTTTAAGTTCCCAGTGGAACATACGGCTTCAAGCTTGAGTTTTGAAATTTCACTAGGAGTGGTTTCATTTTTACGGGGTAGGGTCGCTAGCCTCACATCCAACCTTCCCTCTTTATCGGCTTATCGAGACTCGAGAGTACGTTGGCCGGCGATCGAACCCTGGACCACATGAGGCGTAGTTGGCGAGCACTTTACTGCTGAACCACTACCGGCGCACAGTTAAATTTTCAAGCTTAATAAATATAACTAAAATGAAAACAATTTCTAAGAGCAAAACATTTCACTATTCACTACGATTTAATGGCTGAATAGTTTTTGTTGCTAAAAACTAACTACCTAACTAACTAACTCACATTTTGTTTATCGATGGAATACAACGTTGAGTGATAAACACGAGAAAATAGGCGATTGAATATGTGCCCATCAATACAAACACGGTGATCAGGATATAAACTAGAAAAGAAGAGAATGAATAATATTATAAAATGATCCCAGAAGGAGATAGTACAGTATAAATTATTCACAACACTTTGGGTGTATCAGGTAAGTCCAGTAAGTTTAATATATTATATGGAAAAGTGAACCTCTTAATAAATAGGAATAAAAGGTAATTAGTTATTTTTTCCATTCCTACCTCTTCCAAGTGAAACACAGGGCTTCAAACTTTAAAGACTCAGCAGAGAAGATGATATTTTATACAGTGAAACAGTACTATTTAGTCGATGACAAAGTTTCGAACACAATTTACTGTTCATAATGATATCATCAACTATAACTTCACAACTTCAAAACTTCCGTTTTATAGTTTTCTTTATTCTTTCCTATTTGTCATAGGGGTTGTAGAATATTCCGGATGTTCATGTGAACAAGTGTTGAATCATTTTTATTGCTCTTATTTTCAGTTGATTCGATAAATAAAGCTTCTGTTATCGATCGCCTACTCCACCCTCTTACATTAGACTTTAAAACTGTCATCTTATCCCATCCTACTGTATGGTTGTGTGTAATTGTATGGAGTGCTATAGCTGAACTATTCTCAAGATTTATTATCTTATTCCGGTCAACTAATCTGTTTATTCTCCGCTAGTCTGACTGACCCTGTTCTACTACTTTAAACTATATACAATAATAATAGTAATGATAATTTGCTTTATTCCAAAACAGTACTTGTGATACACAATGGAATTCTCAGCATTTTTACTACAGTATTGCATCCAGTTAGCACATTATCAATAAATAGAATTCTACATAGATCAAGGAAATCTCAGTTCATTATGACAACAACATATTGGCATGTTGGTAGCAAAGCCAAAGTTGAACAGCGTTTGAAGGGGTTAGAAATGTAAGTGCTACCATATTTGCTGGCGTTAGCGGAAGAAAGAAACAAAGCGACACATAACGGAAAAGAGACAGAGAGAAAAGGAAAAGAAAGAAAGAAAATGTTGTGCCTATAAATGATATGAGTTGGAAAGACGAGGTCCAGTTGTTCTACTGACTATTTAATGAATTATAGGTGTCACGCCTAATGCTTTATTTATCGCACAAAACACGAGCTAAGTAGGGTATGGTTGAGTTTTTGTGCTTGCTGGTGCGAGCATATAGTTTTCTATATAGGCTTCTGGTTTTGCCTGATGAGATGCAACGGGAGAGTTGTGAATGAAGAGGGTAGTGTGAGTTAGATAAAATGGATTTAGCTCATTTCTCACATGAGTTCATGTGCCTGTCAACCAGAATATTAACAAGCTGGTTAAGTGGCACGTTACAATGATTGCAAGGTATTAAATAAACTTAATTTAAAACAATTAGTCCCCTTTATGAATTTAGACAAAGCAATAAGAAGGCGTAATCTGTCTAAATCGTGTAATGTATTTGATCACACACAGACTTGTTACAGGAATATTTATGAAATTTCGTGATGACTAACTGTTTTTGAATGCATAAAGGAGGTTTAAACTTCCTAATTGCTTGCTAGGGCTTCCACAAATTTTAGGATACGCCCCAAACACGTTTTATACATAGGTTTAAGAAACGTGTAAACAATTTTATGTCCTGCCTCTAAAATATGTTTCGCAATAGAGGAACTAGATCAACCGTTCTCACCATCAATGGCTTCTGCGGATTCTATTTGCTTCTGAATCCATTCAGGAATATGCTCTGAAGCCCTTATTTACAGAGATCGATGAGTCCTTCCTATTTATGTGTGGTCACACTAGATGCAAATTGGTAAATACAGAGGGATGTGACATCATTTTTCTCATGTTCAAAGGGCTTGGATAGATATATTGGCTTCACATTCTCAATTATTATGATATTACTGAAATAATTTGAGCCGAGTCTTCAGCTGAAGAAGCTGTGGCTTACACAGCGAAACGTTCAGAAAAATCTTGTTTTGATTTTCTTAACACGCTGGGATTAATTTAAAGAATTTATAATGTATTATGATATTAGCTGCATAAAGTCTTTTTAACAGCAGCGTTCAATCTCTGTCTAGTTATCAAGCTTTTATGATGCCCCAAACAGGGTAACTTGATGTACACGTCTTTCTTAGGGGCGAGTTGGAGAGTGGGTCTTGGTGTTTTGACTACTTTATATCTTCTGAAGAATTTGTCTGGATAATTATTATCAACCAGAGTTTGTATCAACTTTCTTCTTCCTCATCAAGTGTATCTTCAGTGCATATTCTTTGGATTCTACTGAAGAGGTGCCTTGCTAAGGCTGTTTTGTACCGAACAGGGCCGAAACTGTGAAAATTAAGATACTGTACTGGCGAGGTAGGTTTTCTAAAAATAGATCGTTTTATTGATCCATCCGACCGTCTACATCTAGGAAAGATAATGGACATTTTTAATCAATTATCTTTCTCTTTTACAGACGTAAGTGATATGCTCTCCTGAACTTCACTCATTTGATTTAAAATTAAGGTGGCAGAACAATGAATTCTTAATACTCTAAGACCGACGGATAGGTCCCCTTAAAAAAACTCATCAACAGGTCAATAAAAGAACTTATCCCCAGTAAACAAACTACCATGAACACATGTTTGATAGGACTAAGGTTCTACAGAAGGGTTTTGGTTCATATAAAGAAAGACTGACTGCAGAAGCCCTACACATATATGGGTGAATCCCAACAGTTTGAACAGACATGAAGGTGTGTTGTTAGCTGATGCATGGCAAATCCTGACTAATAAATAAAATTGGATATGTATCAACAATAGTCATACTTGGTCAAATTCCCGATTCTCTAACAAATGTTTTATGGCTGTTCACCCACCCACACACACCATTGTATACTGCATATACACATATATTTTTAACACAAACTGGAAGATATGCAAGTGAAAAGTAATAAGTTGGCAGAAGAAGCATCAAAGATAGGACTCCAGGTGAACATAGAGAAAACGGAGGTGATGAAGATCCCTGGCCAACACCAACAGCGACAACAACAGACAGTAATCAGCATAAATGGAAGAAACCTGAAAGAAACGACCTCCTTTACCTACTTGGGAAGCATCGTTTCAACTACAGGCGGAAATGACGAGGATATCAAAACAAGGATCGGGAAAGCAAGGCAAGCTTTCATTACTCTCAAGTCTGTGTGGAGGTCAACATCATTCAGCGTCAAAAATAAGATCGGGATTTTCAACTCCAATGTGAAGTCAGTACTACTATACGGATCAGAGACTTGGCCAGCGCATCATAAAGAGCACCTCAAACAAGCTACAGACCTTCATTAGCAGATGTCTTCGCTCAATACTCAAGATCAGATGGCCGGAAAGGATCAGCAACAAAGATCTCTGGGAGCGAACCAACCAGGAACCAATTGTGAAACAAATAGGCAGGAAGAAATGGAGATGGATTGGCCATACTCTGAGGAAACCATCAAGTGACATCACTAGACAAGCCATTGCTCGAGTGGAAGCCGAAAGGGAAGCGGCGGCGAGTTGGTCGTCAGTGCAAGGGTGACTTGGAGGAGGTCATGTGAAGAGGAGATGAAAACGTGTGGGCAGACATGGAGCCAGGTGAAGACTCTAGCAGAGAACCGAACGCAATGGAGACGCATGGCTGAAGCCCTATGTTCCTCTAGGAATTAAAGGAAATAATAATAATAATAAACTAATTTTAAAAGTCTGAGGTCAAATCTTGATCACAGTTCATACAATTTTTGTTTATTATACCTGTTGATATCTGTTTCATGTTTCATATGACAGGACAAACAATTAAAAACAAGAGATGTCCTTTTATTTATAAACATACAAATTTGTTTTGTTTGTTTATTATACATGTTGATGCCTGTTTTATGACTCATGATTGGACAAAGTTTCAAAAACAAGAAATGTTCCTTTTATATATATAAACCTCTGTTACGTTAATTTCGATTAATTTCCCTGAAGAAGTTCGGACCAGATTGCCGAACACAAGAAACGTTGGAATTAATCATTTCAGTTTCGCTGAGATTTTACAAATATAATTTTTACAAATGTCTACTGATACTGATATAGAAACCCAGTCTGAAGTTAAGTATCTTGGATTAATTCTCTCTTCTGACCTATCCTGGTCCTCCCATGTCTTAGCGATTTCTAAAAGAATATTTCGTCTGACTTTTTACATTAAGAAGTTAAGGCACTCAGGCATAACTCAACCACTCCTCTTACAGTTTATCAACTCGTGTATTTTACCTATTCTTCTTTACTGTTCACCTTATTCTTTCCTGGATTGCTTAAAAAAGACTATGTCATACTTCGTAGAACTCTGAAGACTGTCAGTAGGACGAGTGGTATCCCATTGGGTCATATCGTTGACATTGTCACTGATAGGCACTTGATGTCATGCAACAAATTCGCTAAAGGAATTTTGTCAGACTCTGAGCACCCACTCTACCCGCAGCTCCAACCTTGTGTCTCCTCAGGTAAAACAAGAAGTCTTTTCAGAAGAATTTATGCACGTACGTCTAAGTATAAAAATTCCACTATACCATATTTAGCACGTACTTTATGTGATGAAAATAGTGTCAGACATGAACTAACTAACCTTCTTTGCACTACTAAATAAACCATTTCCTTTACCCTTAAAGCATCATTCTTTATTGTTATTGTATTTCTTATATTTATAATCCTCTCAATTTTTTCGTTTTGTTTATTTTTTTCATAAGTGTGGACATAATTTTAAGCTGTATTATAACTGTTAATTTTGTATTTCCCCTCACTATACTATATCAACAGAACATTAGACCCAATAATCTATAACATGCTAAAGTTCCCAAACTGAATCGACAATACCGTTTGAAACAAACTCACTGTTATTATTATTATTATATCTAATAATTATGTCGTAAATGTGGACAAATTCCTCCGATTAATTTTGTTTTAATTTTTAATTTTATATATATTTTGAGTAAATCAGATGCAATATTGTGACAAATGCTGAGAATTCCATTCTGTATTATAAGTACTGTTTTTGGAATAAAGTAAATTATTATTATTATCACTCGGCGCTCAATTATTTTGCAACTATCCGGTCAAATCTTAATCACGGTTCATATGAATGTTTCACAATCAGTTTGTCTATGAGGTGGATAAATTCGCGAAAATAGCATTACACCTTACTAATCAAAAGGTGGACTCACACACACACCACACAAACATTATTGTTAGTATTATTAATAAGAAGGGGTTAAAAGAACTTACCAATAACATCATAGAAAAAATAACTTATCACTAAGGCTATAACTGCAACCAGTAGAAACACAATAATGATCAAATATGAGCATATACCAGTTTTTGGTAATCCACTGTAACGTTGAGTAAACTCTAACAGCCTAAATTAGAAACATTGTAAACACAGAATGAATAACACATTAAGACATTAGAATACCAGAAATTATTACTATTATTGTTATGTCACATGAGTTTAATGTGGTTCAACTAGTTTATTTCTCCATAGCTTTTTACCATTTCATTTCTCTTTGTAGTCCCTTAGGTTAATTTCTTAATGTACATGTTGTTACAAGTGGTTTACACCTTGGAATATTTTACAGTTATGTCACGTACTATGGTGATAATGTATTCCGATCTAGCTAGTCAATATAATTCATATTTCAGGTTAGTTGCTAGTAGCCGATCAAGTTATTAATACATGTGTAAAACTTGGGGACTGTGGTTGTAAGTAATTCTATATGAGTTTGTTTATTAGATATATCACACGGTGAAACAGTATTATTTACTGGATGACGTTTCGAACAAGATTTATTGTTCATAATCATATCAATTGTAATCACACGACTTCAAAACTTGAGTTTTATAGCTTTCTTTGTTCTCTTCTATTTGTCGTCGTTGGGGTAGTAGAATTTTCCAGAAATCTGGGACAGGTGTTGAATCATTTCTATTACATGTATTTGCAGTTGATTCGATAAACAAAGCTTCTGTTATCAATCTCTCCCTCCACCCTGCTGTTACATTAGATTTTAAGACTGCCATCTTATCCCATCCTATTGTATGGTTGTGTGTAACTGCATGTATTGCTATAGCTGAACTATTCTCTAGATTTCTTATCTTATTTGGACCAACCGATCTAGATTTTGCTAAGTTTTTATGTTCAGCTAGTCTGACTGCCCCTGTTCTACTAGTTTGACCTATGTATTTGACCTGACAGTCATTGCAGGGTATTAGATAAACTAAATTGTTTTGTTTTAAAGGCTCTACAGGGTCCTTTAACCGACAAAGCTTGTTTCTAATTGAGTTTGTGGGTTTCAATGCCATTTTTACTCCTGCCTTGTTAAGAATTCCCCGTGTGGTTTCCAAGGTTGCTCCTTTATATGGAATTACTTCTAATGATATAGATTCCTTATTGTTGGTGTTGTCATTATCCTGCACATGTTTGACATACATGTCACTATCACTACTATAGTTATTTATTTTATTGCATTTTACACTGAAAACATGTGTCCCAGATATCTGGAAAATTCTATCACCCCTACGACAAATAGGAGAGAACAAAGAAAACTATAAAACTCAAGTTTCGAAGTCGTGTGACTACAATTGATATGATTATGAACAATAAATCTTGTTCGAAACGTCATCCAGTAAATAATACTGTTTCATTGTGTGATGTATCTAATAAACAAACTAATATGGATTATTGATGTAAACTTAGGCTATATACTTAGACAAATAAATCACTGCAATTCTGACCCACTGGTCTCAATTCATTTATTTCATTTCAAACCAATTTTAAATTGCCTTCCCGTATAATATTATGCAATAGTCTTCCTTTGTTAAATAGTGTTATTTAAAAAAACCCGGCCTATTTGAACGTTGGATTACCTAAACTTCCTTTTCATCTACTTTATCGTGTTTTATTTGTCTCTATTGTATGAAAAAATACTGTCAAACCGGATTATTTACTCTCGCTAATTTTTAAGATCAAGTGACTTTCAAGCTTTTAACAAAGCTAAGAAAAAGCATCATGGTGGTTGGTAATGAGCATTGAAACGCACACCTATACATCGTACTACTGTTCTTGTGATCGTTAGTAGTAACTGCCATTGTCTTCCCCACAAGATTATGTATCTGCAATAACCCTTTATCCTTTAATACTTATCACAATACGACTATGATCACGCTACAAGAAACTTGGCTCCAAAGCTTTATGATGACAATCTGCTTTCACTAAATGGTTTCACATTATTTAGACAAGATCGGTGTTGTTATGAAAAGAAATATGGTGGTAGGATTGCAACTTTTATTCACTCCCAGTGTTCGATTTCAAACAGTGTATGTTTCACATTTTCGAGTGATTTTATTGACTGTATTATAATCAAATATCGTATGAATTGTTTCAAACATTTACGTTACCTCCTGGCCGGTCCCCCTTCGGATCTATCTAATTTTGAGAACGAATTAACGGTTTCCGCCGCTACTTCTCTTGAGAACTCTCTATCAATAGTCACTGCAGACTTCAATTCCTGCAATTGGTGTTTCCTTGAATCTCTAGGTCATGAAAACATTGTCAACTTCGCTACTCAACTTGACTAGTGTCCAATAATGACAGTGGAATATATGAAACACGCAAATGTGTTCCAATAGTGAACTCTGATCACTGCATTATTCGATTGTTGCCTAAAATATATGGCAAGTCACAGACAAGTGTCTTCTCTAACTTTTCAAGGAAAACGCAGTAGAGATGCTACAAACAGGACAATATACATAATCTTAGGCGCATGTTGAAGGGCACTACTGATTAGAATCTATTTACTGAGCATACACGGGATGATACAATCACTAATATGACTGATTATCTTGAATTCTGTCTCGACATTTATTGCCTGAAACAAAAAACACCATTCAAAAGATTTGACCGTTCCTTTTCTCCTCATTTCAAAGACCTACATAAAGGAAAAGAAAAGTTATTCAAGTCTGAAGATAAATCTGATCTGCTAAGGGTTAACACCTTGTGAAGGTCAACTTCACTTCGAATAGCGGATACTTTGGACACCACAAGCCAATGTCTACCTTTACTAACAACAAATGGTAGTCGAGAGAAATTCAGGGATTAATTAATGAGTGATATTTTGGCAGGTGTAACTGACAAGATTTGTAAGTAGTATATATAAGAGGCAGGCATGAATATGCATATCAGCGTCAAGAATATCGAATGGCGAAGAGATAGATTTGAAGAATGATGCTTGAGAAACAACATGGAAAACATGAAAGCAAGATAAAGAAGAGAAATATGGAAGACAAAGCAGAACAATATCGAAGATATATACAAATCGTGATTCTGCTATATGATAGACCTCTGATTTCGCCTATATCCACGTATCGTTACCGATTCTCTTCTGTAATGTGCTGTGGAATGGAATTTTCAGAAATATACTCCACCTGCCCTTTATGCATAAACTCAATTAATTACTTTCGGCTGTATGCAGCTGATGAGAAGCCGACGAAATACACGATGATACCATCTTATTCTGTACACACCTCTGGTTTTCTTTTTGTTGCTTTATTCAAATTCATAAAAGGGGAATAAGTGTATAAAAGTGTATATAAAAGTTTACAGATTGTTCTACTGGATTGTATACACAATAACTGGAGCAACATTCCGTACGGAATGACCTTTAGGGTAAATATACACAACACTAGAGACCACTAGAGTTTATTCAATAAGTTGATTACTGTTTGTGATATTTTATAACGCAAACTCTCTTGATTTACATCCACACCTAAATATTTCTTTCTTGCACTTAAATAAGCAATCTGCAAACAGTACAAAACAAGGTCAATGAACTGTCAATTTATTTCTAGGGTAAAATTTTGAAATCGATTCACTTAAAATTTCTGGTATGATTATCAGCTTATAAAACTGTTTAGGCCTCATATTTGTATATCAGCAAAGTAGATAATAGAAATGTAAGACGAACGAATACAAATAATATAATAAAAATGTCTAATATACTCAAATTGTCACAGATTACGTAAAATTTGACATCGCCAAGTACTACAGGTTCGTACAAGAAATAAACTAGGCTTGGATTTAGTTGTGTTCTCTGAGCTGGTTGATTTCATTGCGAAGCTTTCATCATCCTTCTAGACGACATCTTCAGTGCAGGTTTTAGTATGGAATGGACTTATTTTAAATTCTCCATGAATGACGTAATTGTATCTCCTGGCAACCTTTGTCATGATTGGTTGTTAATTTACGTCTCTATTGATCACTTTTATTAACTTGGAATTTGAACTCTCTTGTCATGTGATTTACTTTTTATTAGCTGGTAAATTCATTGTTATTACAGTGTTATTCCCTTGAGTTCCGAGTGAAACATACGGCTTCAACAACAAATCTCCATTTTCTGCTATTTTCTGCTGTCCTCCTCAGTTGGGTCCACGATTGACCATAATTCCTCATCTCCCCCTCCTCCTCAAAAGATCTCCTCCACGTCACCGTCGCACCGACGACCCACTCATCGTTTCCCATTGGGATTCCACTCGAGCGACTGCCTGCCACGCGATGTAATTCGACAGCCTCCTCAATATATGCTCGATCCATCTCCATTTTCTCCTACATATTTGTTGAGCGATCGGCTCTTGGTTGGTTTGTTCCCAGCCAACCAGAGTTTCTTGTTTCTAATTTTTTCTGGACGACCTGCCATTTGATCTTCACTATGGAGCCAACGAAGGCGGCAACTGTTGATGAAATTCTGTAACTTGTTGCAAATCCTTTTCGTGACACGCTCGCTATGAAAGTTTCTGACCCGCATAGAAGAACTGACTGCCTAACTTCACATTTGTGTTGAAAATCCGAATCTTGTTCTTCATGCTGGCTGGCTTAGTGGAGTGCAGAAGATTCGCAAACTGGTTTCAGGTTGATGAAGGCGTATCTTTCTCTTCCGATTCTGGCTGGCTGGCTGGCTGGCTTGCTTTGACATCTTCATCTGTTCCGTCTGCCTGTGGTTGCAGCCGTGCCTCCTGTTGAGGTAAGTGAAGGGAGGAAATAACCTCTCCTGTTGATAAATCATCCAACTGAGCTACAAATCTTCCCCATTACTTCAATAAGCTAGATTAAAGTTAATCAAATACCTAAGGAAGATTTGTTTAACAGAAAAATAAAGAAGGAATTTATAACAGACAGTGTATAAACTCACAAGAAATGCTACAAAATAGTAGCAATAAATACAAATACCTTTTTTCGAAACTCATATAGAAATTTATCTTAATTATCAAACAAACGGAAAATGAAAATTATATCAGGATATCATTGATATCTTTAACCAAAAGAAATTACTCACATATGCATCAATGAAGATAAATATAACAAGTTCGA